GCGCTGGCTGGCGCTCCGGCGCCCGAGGGCCCCTTCCCGGCCCGCCTGCTGGACGTCAGCGGCGCCGGAACCCTGGCCCACAGCTACCAGTATGAGGTGTGTCTGATGGGAGGTTCTTCTGAGACCAGTGATTTCAAATTCATAAAGCCAGTTATCCCCAACCTTCAGCCCCATTCCCCTGGCAAAAACATAGAGGAAACTTCTACCTTCCCAAATAGTTTTGGATTTAATAATTGACAGAAACCCACTTAAAATATTTACTTAATTATATTTCTTGTTAAGTAAATTGTTTGTGCTATTTACAACTAAGCACTATTTAATTTTCTGTCACTAATTCCAATGTATGCGTTAGTATACGTTTTCTTTTCCTCACATCTATTCCCAGTGCATTGTATCTGATAGAATTGTAATAAATAAAATACGACTTTATCTTCAAAGTTGATAGTATTTTTTCAAAATTTCAACTTATGCATATCTTCATTGAGGTTGTCTTTGTCATCTCTATACTTTTCATGTTAGTTTTCCTTTTCTTAGACTTCTTAATTTATTAAAACATTCTAGTGCGTGGGATATGTATGTTTAATATTTCACATTGCATTCTATTTTTCTTTCTAAATTGGCATTCTTCTTGGCTTGTCATCCTTGATTTTAATTATAACACTTTTCTAAAATTTTATTTCTTTTAAAGTTCTATTTTCCTACTATTTCTGTTATGTGATATGATAAAGCCCTAATCAGTTTTATCTTAAAGTAAGGAAATTTATTGTGAATAACTGAGCATGTGTAACTATGTTTAACTTTGGGGATATAAGTACAAAGTCTATTCTTTGGACTACATAGAAATATCTAATAATTTATTTTTAATTCTGTATGAGAAATTGAGAGTCCTGTTAAATTGTTAATGCCAAACAATCCAATCCCAATTCAGTCCAAAAAAACAACAGAAGTTATCTATCAGAGGTATAGTGTGGCTTTAATATTTAATAGAATGGATTTTTTGTTGTCGTTTGGCTTTGGTTTTGTATTTTCGCAGTATCTAGTCTTTTCCTAGTTCAACACCTCTGGATTTAATCTAAATCCCTTATTATGGGGAAATTATATCTTTCTTGGTAGAGGTTTTGAATAAAATATTCTGTTAGGCAGATACTAAAATGTTCTGTTAGGCAGATACTTTCAAAAATGGTAGGTGTGCGTTAGTTTGATCCATTCTTTTCCTTCCTTTATTTGATGCAATTAAATTAGGTTCTACTAAATGTCAATTAAGAGATACCTTAAAATAGAGTTTGGGCTCTTCTTTTTCCTTGCAAGTAGTTTCAAAGTTAAAATAAGGGGGAAAAAAGATAAATGAAAGTAAATAGAAATTGAATAGTCTGAGTAAATGCAATGATGTAATTTTCAAATGGTAGGTATTGACAGGCAGTTAATACTGTTTCATGTCCTACTGACTAAGGTTTCCTTACTCATACCTCAATACAAGCACTAGTGAGTAGATAATTTGCCAACCAAAAAAAACTTAAGACCTTATTCCTGTCCTCAAGTGGTTCACATATTGAAGAAGGGACAGGCTGCCATGAAACAGGAAGCAATATTATTTACAGAATAATCATAGTTATATTCATATATTTTTATAGCACCAGAGAGGAGGAACAGCCTAAATGCTTGGTTCTTATTATATAGTGAGAATTACACTTAGGGAGTGTAGTGGGATTTTTAAATTTTTTGAAGAAGATAAGAAACAAGTATCCTTTTGGTATTCCTATGCCCAAGGTTCCTGAGAAAGTGAAATCTGTTACTCTAGTGCTGGCAAAGGCATTGACAATTTTTCCTTTGGTTGCATGGGAGTTGGTCAAAAGTGAAAGGCCTATTAAAAAGCTAAATCTAGCAGTGAAGTAAAGTTACTGCTAGAAATTTTTTTTAAAACTGTTAAAATTTTAACTTTCCCATGAAGCAATGAAGAATCTAAGAACTCGAACGAATCTCTATATCAGCATTATTTTTAGTAAAACAAGCAAACGAAAGAAAAATTGAAGTAAGCTACTAAAGAAAAAATTTAAAACACTCAAAAAGCTGGTGCAACCATTTTAATCTATTGGAAACCACGCGATGGCGCTGCAGACTAAGGAGACCGGGAAAGATGAACTGAAGCCGCTACCCAACTCGCTAACAGGAAAGGAAGATCCCTGGGCAGAGAAGCTGTAGCGGCCCCGGATTGGAAAGGGGTAGGAGACGTAGACCGAGCTACTACACGGTTTGGGTCTGAGGTTTATGACTGTTTCTTTATGCACAGCACTGGGTTCTGACACATACTGATGAAAAAGGCAACTATGGAGGCCAGAGGATTGCACTTTCTCAAACAAAGGCAAGTCCTAATTCTTTTTTTATTTTGGGGTGTGTCCTGGGCATATTCTGGGTTTGGACGTTATGTGGTGACAGAGGAAACAGAAAGAGGATCCTTTGTGGTCAGTCTGCCAAAGGATCTGGGGCTGGGGGTGGGAGAGCTGGCTGCAAGGAGAACGAGGGTGGTTTTTGATGATAACAAACAATACTTGCTCTTGGATTTTCATACTGGAGATTTGCTCACAAATGAGAAACTGGACAGGGAGAAGCTGTGTGGCCCCGTGGAGCCTTGTATGCTGTATTTCCAAATTATAATGGAGAACCCCTTTCAGATTTACCAAGCTGAGCTGAGAGTTAAGGATATAAATGATCACTCACCAGCGTTTCAGGACAAAGAGATGGTCTTTAAAATACTAGAAAATACTGCCCAAGGGACAGTATTTCGACTAGCAAGAGCACAAGATTCAGACGGAGGGCTTAACGGTATCCAAAACTATACCATCAACCTCAACTCTTTTTTCCATATTAATATTGATTACAATGATGAAGGTATTGTATATCCAGAGCTAGTGCTGGACAAAACTCTGGATTGGGAGGAGCAGCAAGAGCTCAGTTTAACACTTACAGCAATAGATGGAGGGTCTCCACCCAGGACTGGGACTACTACCATACGTATCGTGGTCTTAGACATCAACGATAATGCCCCACAGTTTTCCCAGGAGCTTTATGAGACCCAGGTTCCAGAAAACAGCCCAGAAGGGTTCCTTATTATTAAAGTCTCTGCAGAAGATGTTGACACAGGACTCAATGCAGAAATTTCCTATTCATTTTTTGATGCTTCTGAAGATATTCGAACAACCTTTGAAATAAATCCTTTTTCTGGGGAAATCATTCTCAGAGGATTAATTGATTATGAGTCAGTAAAGTCTTACAAGATAAATGTGCAGGCAGTGGATGGAGGGGGCCTGTCTGCAAGCTGTACAGTTTCGGTTCAGGTATTAGATACTAATGACAACCCCCCTGAATTGATCATATCATCACTCTCCAATCACATTGCGGAGAACTCTCCTGCAACTGAACTGGCAGTTTTTAGAATTAGAGACAGGGACTCTGGAGAAAATGGGAAGATGGTTTGCTACATTCAAAAAAATTTGCCTTTCCTTCTAAAACCCTCTGTGGAAAATTTTTACATCCTCATGACAGAAGGAGAATTAGACAGAGAAAGCAAAGCTCAATACAACCTCACTATCATGGTCACTGACATGGGAACCCCCAGGCTCAAAACCGAATACAACATCACCGTGCTGGTCTCCGACGTCAACGACAACGCCCCGACCTTCACCCAATCCTCCTACACCCTGTTCGTCCGCGAAAACAACAGCCCCGCCCTGCACATAGGCACCATCAGCGCCACAGACAGAGACTCAGGCACCAATGCCCAGGTCACCTACTCGCTGCTGCCGC